AGCCTTAAGAATCATAGTTCTATAAACCTAATTAAAGGGTGTTAGAAAAAATATTCAATAAAAACCTTCTTATAAACCCTTTAGAATTTGGGAATAAAAGAATCAATGTATCTTATTCAGTAGGATAGACAACAGGACTAGAGTATTTTTCTTTTTTCTTAGATTTAATACTATATCATATTTCCTGTAGAGATCCGAGCGTGCTGGATAAACATCTTTATTATGTGTAATCTTCAAAAGAGCTGTATTATTTGAAAATGATTAATTTGTTTCTCAGCAGCCTTTGATTCAATATTATAGAGTTTATACTTCTTTTTAAAAAATTCTGATGTATCACATCAAAGTAAATAACATACTTTCTCCTGAACATCCTTAATAGTTAATATGTTATTATGTTATTGCTATTTCAACTGAGAAGCCATTAATTCAATAAGTATTTCCTCCTCTTCTTAATGTCTTTACTTTATGCAGTTGTAGAAAATGCATAGGAAGAATTTAACTCCAATTTAGCAGAGATAAAAATTTTATATACTTCCTGTATAGGTTGTTTTGTACATGTATTTTAAAAGTTCCTTAGGTTTAGTGCTTGGGTTAGGTTTTCCAGTTTTACATGTTCAGGGTTTTTCCTTTTTCTATGAAACATATACAGTAGATTAACTAAAAACAGATGCTTTTAAAGCACCCCAAGCAACCAATATGTTTGCTGACTATAGATTGAAAAAAAAAAAAACTTTGAAATTTATTTTATCTGTTTTATAAAAATCATTTAATAATGATCCATTTAAATATCATCTTAAACAAATAGGATGACTTTTTAATATATAATTACTGAAAGCGCTACTAAACTTGATAGAATATTGCAATACAAGTTGTTTGATCTGACCGATCAGTTAACACAAGACTTGATAACCTTAGTAACTTGAACATGTAGGCTTCATGCACAAAATTTCCCAGACAGCATAAAATTGAAGTTCATACATTTTAAGTTGACAAACTCTTAAAAACACTGTTCTAGGATGATTCTGTTGTTTACTTACATACTGAATATCACACAGAATAACAAGTCTGCTCTGAAATGGCTTTATATGCGACAGATATCTAAATGACTGAAAACAAATGGCAAGAAAGAACTTAATTTGATGAAAATGTGGTTAAATGAAATTATCACACTCTATATTTCAATACTAAAACTGAAGGATAATTATTTCCTTGTTTGAGCAAATTAGATACAAGCTTTCAAAAGCAATCCAGGATTTTCTGAAGCAGAATAGGCAAAGCAAAATGATTAATTACCTATTCCAGCAAACTGACCTACCGAACTTATTTAGAATTTACTTGCTGTTCTTGACAGTCTGTTCTATAACTGCAGCTTTAAGAGAATTCACATTGGCTAATCATTATTGAATTATTCTATACAGGTTCACATTTTAAAAGATTCTGCTTCACCTATTTGTGGAATTCATATGAAAATTATTATGAGCCTCTGTTCATAAACCTTGCTGGTCTCTGGAGGTTTTTCTGTCTTTAAACTAGGGGCGTTATCTTAATTAGAGAACAAGTGGTTCTCATAGTAATTTTTCACAACTGTCCACTGGTCATATGATGGTAAGATTAGCAACATAGGCATTCATGTATGAACACAAAACCACACAAGATGTAGGAGACATAGCACTTAGTCTTCCTACAGCAAGCAGACAGACTCAATGCCTGGACCCAGCATGATGACCCCAAAATGAAACCCAAAAGGAAAGGGGGGGGCGATTGGACATTAATTGCTTTTATACTCATACTTATTTATTTTTTACTAGAGAAGAAAATCTTCCCCCTTTGTTTTTTGAAGCATTTTCAACATAGTCAAGTATGTATTTCATTATATCTCTCTAATTATGTTGGTATACTCACTAACAAACTAGGATTAGGCTATTCTGCCTCCCAAATGAAGGATTTTCACTTTCTCTAATTACCTGTCCCAAACAGATAAAAAAGAAAGGGAGGATAAAGAAACAGTGGTAATATTATTTAAATAATTTAAAGTCCTTTTATTAGAGAAGTTAATTTCAGTAAGGAAGAGGTCAGAAATGGGGGAACTTATAACCCTATGCATGTTGCTGAACTCCAAATCATCTCATTCTATCCAGGCCAATCAATCTTCATAATGATGGGCATTGCGATACAACCATATCTGGAAGGCTACATGTTTCCCACCATTGGGGGAGGCTTTAATTATCTAGCAGCATATGGTTAGGGAATCAAGAATACACATTTATCTTCTTTAGGTCCAATTGTGAAAATATTGCAATACCTATTAGTCTCATTGCTCACAAAAATGTATTTCCAATAAAATACCATGTTTATCAAGTCAATTTTGTCTTTCTATATCTACAAACATTTTTGCTATTAGTAAGTGAAAGCTGACTCATAATGAGGCAGACTGCTACATTTTAATGCAATTGTATTTGAAACTTTGAAATGCCTACTTGCAGAATGCGGCTGCGCGGGTGGTTATGGGCGCAACTCGTTGCGCCCATGTAACACCCCTCCTGCGCGAGCTGCACTGGCTCCCAGTGGTCTTCTGGGTGCAATTCAAAGTGTTGGTTACTACCTTTAAAGTGCTCCATGGCATAGGACCAGGGTATTTACGGGACCGCCTTCTGCCACCAATAGCCTCCCACCGACCAGTTCGCTCCCATAGAGAGGGACTCCTCAGGGTGCCATCGGCCAAATTATGCCGGCTGGCGACACCCAGGGGGACAGCCTTCTCAGTGGGAGCTCCTCTCTTTGGAATGAATTGCCCCCGGAAATACGTACAATCTCTGACCTCCGCTGTGCCCTTAAGACCCTACTGTTCCGACAGGCGGGGCTGTCTATTTAAGTGGTTTTTAAATTGGAGTTTTAACTTGGGGTTTTAAATTTTGGCCGAAACAGTTTAATTGATTTTAATTACTTTTAATGATGATGTCTGCATATTTATGTTTTTAAATTGGCTGTACACCGCCCCGAGTCCTTCAGGAGAAGGACGGTATATAAATAAAATTAACATAACATAACATAACAAAGCTATACTACACATCGTGGTAACTAATACCGGTACTTGGTGGCAGTATAAATTTATATTAGTTTATTATTACAAATAATACTGTCAAGGTTTTGTGATTTGATATTCTATAAAATATTCTATATTTTATATTCTATAAGATTCTATAAAGAAGAACATTGCGGCTGTCAGATGTAAATCTTCTAAAACTATCAAGATCAAATTATTGAAGACAAACAATTTTGTAAGTACAGATCAACACTCTGGCCACTCAGGCTGGTGTTTTCCTCCATTGCCCACATGCTGTATCTTCATGAACCTGATATTAAAATTAAATAGGAAGTTCACATGTGTAGAATACTCCTGCCTTCCAGAGTATGACTCGTTATAGACCAGGCAAAAAAAGATAGAGATGGGAACAATTTATGTTCTCTGTCTCCTTTAATATTATTATACAGTAATCAGTTCCAGCTTCCATACACTTAGTGGTGAACTAAGGCCCATAAACACATCTAATCATGAACAAATAGGAAATATCATCTTGTAGGTTGATAACTGGTCATAAAAGAAAGAAAGAAAGAAGGAAGAAAGAAAGAAAGAAAGAAAGAAAGAAAGAAACAAAGAAAGGAAAGAAAGAAAGAAAGAAAGAAAGAAGGAAGGAAAGAAAGAGAGAGAGAGAGAGAACAAGGTTTGGGATATAGGAATGAGCAAGAAAATAAAAGGTTTCAGATTAGAAACCTTGATTGCTCCTGATTAGTTTATAAATTAGGCAGAATTTTTAATGAACAGAAAGTGGCAATGTTTGGAATTAAATATTCCAAGTAATGAAACTTCAGCAAATTATGAAGATTTTCAAACAGATTTCCATCTAGGGCAACTGGAATAGTAAGACAAATTCTCTTAAATGTGATTGTACATGAAACATTTTGCTCAAAATATAGCTATTCCAATCTTAATCCTAAATTTCTAAGATTAAACAGTCCAAATTGAACTGGAAGCAGGGGAGGGTAAAATATTAGACTAACTTAAGGTTGGATCAGAATAACCAATCCAGTGTATATCTCCTCCCCCCCAAAATTTTTGGATTTTAATCAACCATAAAAAGCATGACATAAAATAGGGTAAGGGCTGACTTGCAAGACTGGAAGTACAGTGCCTGAACGTCTAAATTTGTTATCAAAACAGAGTATATCTGTTATATCCTCATATATATATATATATATCTTCATATATCCAAAATCAAAAAGTGAGAAACAAGAAGTCCTTTGCCACATAACTGCAGGACAAAATGTTTATAATTTAAACCATTATTTTTCAAATTTGGCAACTTTAAGATGTGTGGAATTCATCCCCAGAATTTCCCAGCAGGCCATGTCAGCTGAGGAATTCTGGGAGTTGAAATCCGCACATTAAAGCTGCCAAAATTGAAAAATAAAGATTTAAACCCATTTGTAATAGGTAGGACCTTTTAGAAACTTTGTTTTGCATTATTTGAAATGATGACGATTAACCAACAAAGCAGTAGCATCTGGTTGATCTTGTGTGGTTGGACTTGGTTAATATTTAAATGGATTTCCACCAGGAAGTCCCAGAGCTGTAAACTGGACTGGCAAGTAAACCAATTCCCCTAAGAAGGCAATTACAAGCAACTTCTGGAGTGCTGCCAAGAAAACAGCATGGAGATATTCATAAAATCCTAAATGAAATGTGATCTTAACCAAGAGATATTGGAGGTCAACAAAAAATGATAACAGAATATGAGGTGGTGACAAAAGTAAATTCCATTGTAGTGGTTGTTAAAACACAAACCACAAATCAGCAACATCTGATTAATACATATAGATAAACCCATCCTATGGTCAAAGTTAGGTTGCTATATGTAGTTCTGGTCTCCATATGGTGAAATGAACATTTGTAATCAGAGAAAGGAAAGAAACTTTTCTATGACAATGAGACAATTAGCAAATATAGCAATTTTGAAGGAGTTTAATTTAGATAGTAATGAATGAGGCAGAATTCAATAATATATAGTTGAGCATTGTACAAAGAAAGGGGTTGGTAACTAATATTGCTGCACCCTCTCACATTACATGGTGGTTTAGTTGTGTCCAAAGGGAGAGTTAAAAATCTATCAGTTATGGATGTGGCATCTTGAACTATCCCCACCTCTCATACACCTATGTGCATTAATTCATACACATGTATAATAGTGGTAGAACTTGATAGTTATTTGTTTATTTGTTTGTATTCCACCTTTATTTTCTTTTACAAAGAATTCAGGGTGGTGAACATGTCCAACGCATCTTCTTCTTCCTATTTCCCGCACAACAACAACCCTGTAAGGTGAGTTGGACTGAGAGAGAATGAGTGGCCCAAGGTCACCAGCTGGATTTCATGACTAAATTGGAACTAGAATGCATGGTTCATACCCACTTTTTAGCTTTGTGCCTTAACCACTTGACCAAATTGCTCTCTCATGATGTTGCACCTGGTTTCTTGTAGATTTTAAAATCCTTCCTAGTGATGTCCTTGTCTTGGTTCCGCCACTAAAATTCATAAATAGGAATCTGAGAATAAGTAGAAGGAGGCATTCTCTGGTTTAGAAATTATTTAACACAAGACTGGATTACTGAATAGCAGGTGATGGAAATTAAACTACAAGAAAAAAGGTTAAATACTTGACTAGATGAATCATATATTTTTAACCCAAAATGTTAAGAATGTAAGAATTAAAGAAGACCCATGTGGAGACTAAATGCTTAACTCAGCCTTTCCAGGGTAAATAGGACAAATCCCAGAATTCTTAGCCAATATAATATTTTGGCATTTCCAGTTTCCTCATTATACACAGCCTGTTATTTCCAAGCAAGCAAAATTGTTGTGTCAAACTTTATTTTTAATTTCAGCAAGAGTGCCATCAGATTCTGGTAAACCAAATAGACTAAGAACACATTCTACAGAAACTGTGATTATGTGCAGTGGTAGGATTCAAATTTTTCTACTACCGGTTCTGTGGGCATGACTTGGTGGGTGTCATGTGACTGAATGAGTGTGGCAACTCTACTTACTCACGATGGGGCAAAATGAAGTTAACCATGCCCACTCAGTCACATGACCGCACCAAGCCATGGCCACTGGCCTGTCCCTTTATGGTCCCCTCTGCATCGAAGTACCTTAAAGGGACACCGCAGCCTGGCTGCCTTCTGAGCAACTCCGCTGTGATGCCATCCCTCCAGTGCAGCAGGCCATTCTCCTGGCCAGGTCTGGCAATGGGATGTGGCCATCCACGTGCACCGGCAGACAATGTGATGAAGAATAGGGCGGTGATGGGATTTCAGGCCTCTTTTTTGGTTTGTAGTTTTCAGTAGTTATTTCGGGGCAAGAAGCCTGCAGCCGCTGCCTCTTTGCCAGCCAGAACCGAGGCATTAGTGGCAGCTGGAGGCGTCTCATGCTAAAAAAGAGGAGGCAACTGCAGACTTCCTGCGCTGAAAACTACCAAAAACTACAGGATGAAAAAGAGGCCTGAAAAAGTCCCGTCGCCACTGTTGCTGCCCTGTTCTTCACACCAGCCACGTATGCGCACCCCATTGCCTGCCAGCACCGGCACCCCATTGCCGGTGCTGCTTGTGGCCAGACCCGGCCAGGAGAATGGCCTGCTGCAGCGGAGGGATGGTGTTGCAGTGGAGCTGCTTGGAATGCAGCTGAAAACTACTGGCGGCTGGAGGCTTGCCAGCCGAGCCTCTCCAGGGACCGCACCAAAGCACAGATGAAGATCAGCAAGGTGGAGGGTGAGTGGGCAGCATGCGGGCAGAGGTCCTGGGGAAGGCCAGAGTCAGGAAATGGCACATTCCCTGACCCAGCCAAGGTGAACGGGGAGCTGGCAGAGGCTCCAGGTGAAGCCAGGCTGGAGCTGGGAAATGCTTACTTTTGGTGAGCAGAGCGGGCAAGGCATGGAGGTGAGGCCACATGGCAAAAGTAACATTTATAGGGTAGGGTGGAGGTAGGACAGGGGTGGGCTGGGTGGACAGGATGAGCGGACTGGCGGGTAAGTGAGCAGTGACTAGGTGAGCAGGATGACTGGGCAACCGGGCGGGCAGGGGTGGGGCCAGCCAGAGGTGGTATTTGCCGGTTTGCCAAACCAGTTAAAATTTCCATTACCAGTTCATCCGAACCAGTTCAAACCGGCTGAATACCACTTCTGATTGCGTGAGACAGAGAGCAGTCTCCCTGAAGTGATTTTAGTTGAAAAGTTTTCTTTCTAAGCCTAACATGTTTAGTTTGCATTAGTTCAGCAAATTCCCTGATCTGCCGTGCATTTTAATTTAGGGGATTTGGGGTTTTAAATTGGATTTTAACATTTTAATTCTACTTATTGTTGATTGTTTTATTCTGTGAGCCGCTCCGAGTCCCTCGGGAGAAGGGCAGCATATAAATATGACAATAAATAAAATAAATAAATAAAGTTCAATGTTACTTTGATATTTTATCATATTGTAACTTATATTTACTTCTGACTTTTATCCATTATGTTTAATTTATGTGGTTATGTTCATAAGCCACCAATGCCAATACCACTTTGGTGGTACATAATATAAATAAAAAAAACCCATTCAGTACAAAATTCAAGAAGAATTTCAATGGGAAAAATTACTATCTCTCAAATAAATCAGGCAACCACCAGGGGACCTACTACCTTCTCTAGTCTATGACATGGTCTTAAGGTTTCATCAAGGTGAGGGCTATAGAATCTCAGCATAGAAAAATAAGGTATGATTTGCAGCAGTAACGTTTCTGATTCTCTCCTTCATTAGACTAACTAGTACAATAAATCAACATTTTCAGAATCATAAAAATTTGAGGCATTTTCCTCAATATCTTCTATATTCAATTTTCTATTCCTTGTTCAGAACCTAGAACAGGTTGTAAAGTGATGATAGCCTTGAGAGATGAAGCTGGATTTTGGAATTCAGGTGAGGCTTCCTTAAACTGGCATAATTTCTACTCATTGGATTAGACACCCCTCTTCCCTGTGAAAAACTGCTTACTCTTAAACTAGACTTGCTGTAAAATATTTTGTAGAACTATGGCTGAATTGTGTTAAAATATTCCTTATTTTTTCTATTTTTGCTTTCTTTTCACTGGAAACAAGGCAAAAAGCTGAAATAAATCATTGTCTTCAAATATGGAAGTATGATTTTCCTGTAAAAGATTAAAGGCTAGGAGAAGATAGCTAAAACAGACATTTTTGTTTGTTTGTTTTAGATCTTTTATAAGATCTTATAGAATTTGCTTCTTTAGATTCTTCAATAAAACTTTTAAAAGGCACCAGTTATCAACGTCTTTATCAAAATGTACAAATTATGGTACTTTTTTCTAAGGACCATCACTTGCAATTAAATAGTAATGTTTCTGAAGCAGGATTTTATGTTTTCTAATTAAAAACAAAATATTGCCTATAAGGATATTAGTGAAAAAATACATCCAGGTCATCTTCTATTATATTCTTCTTTTGTGCAAGAAACTTGTAAAAATAATTATTATGAATGGTGAGCAGGACAGAAATATTTGGAATTTCTGTTTCTGTAGAATCCAGTTGTATTTGTTGTTATTATTCTTGTTCTTCCTAGTTTGCAATGAATTTGGTTTTCCAAAATGGGAGTCCTCTTCACTTTTATAATATAACATTTCTGAAAGGACCTGTCAGGTGAAAAGCTGACTTCAGATAGTTAATAACTTTAACTGTTATCATATTTGATTGTGGAATGGAAGTTCATGGAGCCCTGTTGAGACAACCTTTAGATCTTAGTTAATATTCTACTTAATTCTCTTTTGTAGTTATGATTTTGCACTTAACAATGAACTAAAGGGCTACCATCAGTGAGCTGTTAGATAGCATTACTTGGTCTGTTGTGTGGATGTTTGGATGGTTTAGGGGTGGGGAATTGTGGTGGGTGGAAGAGTGTTTGGGGATTATTATGTGTGTTGGACCTGGTCTTTGGGTGTTAAGTGAATTTCATTGTATGGGTATACCGTGTATACACAGTATGGGTATACAATGACAATAAAGTTATTATTATTATTTTATTTCATTGTCTAGCAAGGCATATGTATGTAGATTTTGAACATTAATATCCATATGAACATATGAACCAGAATCCAAGTAATCTCTTTTAAAACTAGATGGTTAATTTATTACAACACATCTATCCTAATATTACAATAGTTAAATTCAATTGGGACAAAATTGGCAGTGGATATATTCTAAGTGACATTTGGATTTTTAAAACAACGTGAAGAAGATATTGAAATATGCTGCTGTGTGATACCATTGGACTATATTTTACTAGCACCAAGTGTCTTCTCTGAAACCAATAGCATGTACTTCTCTATGTTGTCTTGAACATAGATGGGGCTGCCAATGTTGCTCAAAAGGAGAGGTGGGGAAGAGAACAGACCCACACATGAGTTGAGGAGCCTCAGTCTAAGTACACCAATCTTTATCTCTTCCTTTGCATGCTTTTCCTTTTCTTAACAATACACTAAAGGGTTCTGTTAGGAGCCACCTTCTAACAGAGCCCTCACTGCTTTCAAAGTCTTGAGGCAATAACTGGACCTGAACCCATACTATCCCCCTCCACCCAAATCAAAAGGGAAGCTGCTGCCTTTAACAAGAGATGCTTATCATTGCGCAAAACTGCCCCAGTGTTAGAGATCTGACCTCAGATGCCCCCTGGGTCCTGTGGCACCAGCATCACTTCTTTAGTAGCAAGTTCTGCCTTCATAAAAAGTAAATACCATTTGCTCTGCCCTGTCTCTACTTAAGTAAATCATAGAATTTGGAAATAGGGGCTGTCAATTTTAGAGAAGTGAGAAACACTCCCCTCTTTGGACAAAGTCCCTAGATCTGGACAGCCCCATTTGAAAGGTAGTGTGTTTAATTTATAGTCAGCCTCATTTACCCACGAAAGAAAAGGAAATGGCTCTTTAGTTCACCTTATCAAGGAAAATAAATAGTTTCCTTCTGCATGTTCACTCATATTTCCATGTTGATCAGGAGATCTGAATCTTAAGCTAACATAAACCTGGATTCTGGATTCTCAGTCAACTTATCGGCATTAAACTGCTGGGAAAAATGCATTTGGATTTTTTTTTTAAAGCTGCAAAAAAATAATTGTGCTTTACACTTTGAATGTATATACTTGAATGTGCATTGATCGCATGTTTGCAGCTATAAAATATTGTTCCCCTTTAAAATATGATATACTGTTATGGAGATATTACGTCAATTGCAATTAGCACAAGCATGTACAGATTGCAACTACAACTTTAAAATTTATGGAAGTTATTTCTACCAAGGGTAAAATAAATTAAATGTCTTTTAAAACCTCCAGCTTGGAAAATGATTCATTGGGCTTGGATACTGTTATTTTTGCAAAGAACTATATTGCCATATAACAAATATGACAGTAATTTAAAATATTTGGAAATATATCTGGAGCATTAGTTTTGTTTAAATTAGCTGTGTATATATTGAACCATCTTTTATGAATGTGTGTGTATGAGAAAAAAAATAGGAAGAGATCTGTTCTGTTGTCCGTGAGCAAAAATATATATATCTATATTTAGTCTTCCACTAAAATACTATTTTAGTTGATACTAATTTGGGAGTAAATTGTGTCAGTGAATTCAACAGAGTTCATTGTTGGTTTACCAAAATGAAGCACAGAAATTGTCAAAATAGTTGAATCTCATACAAATTGAATTTTTTCTTCCTCTCTCTCCCCCTCCCCTCCTCCAATTTCTTAGGCATGCTTTCTTGTTACTGTTATGCATTATACTTATTTATACAGAAATGAATTTAAACTTGTATTTTCTTTCTTCAGTAGTTAAGATACATTCCTGATATCCCTTATATACCTCTGACTCTCACTGCTTTTAATTGCAACCTCCTTTAGATAGGATAATTGTGTTTCTGGACCTTCCATCTAAAATTTACTGGTTCCCAGTTATTACCAGATTGCCACATCTATTTCCTAGTGATCTTATCCAGATGATAGACAAGATTGTGATCTGATTCCATTGATAGAAATCAAAGTACATCAGACTTACGAAATCTATATACATGTATATCCAATGCTCATAATGATGGTGACATTAATTTGTTTGTTCAAAAATTTAGGCTTTGAAACATAGACAAGTAGGTTGTAGCTACTTATAAAGTAGCTTGTAAAAGTACACAAGTTAAAAATAAATAATAAAATAAATATAATAGGGATGAATGAGAGGAAATTATGTGCCAAGTGTCACTTTATAAAATCCTACATTTGGAAGGACTCTCAAAGGTTATTTAGACAGCCCTCTTATTTCATACAGGAACTTCATTAATATAATATTGTTAATAGACGATGATCACCTATGCTCTTCCCCAAAACTTCAAAAATAGCCCATCACCTTCCAAAGCAATTTGTTCTTTGAGAAAGAGTTGATGTTACATCTAAGAATCAGTTCTGAAATGTCATTCTCAATGCTTTCTTCTTGTTTGCATGGATGTGTTTGTGTCCTGCTTTCTGAATCAACAGAAAATAAATCTGCTCCATCAATTTGAAGGACAGTCCTTCATATATATGAGGATGATTATCTTGATAGTCTTTTCTCCTGAAAAAAACAAGTTAAATTCCTGAAATATTTCTTTTTTTTATAGGAGTAGGTCTCTAGGCTCCAGACATGATCTTTGTCATCTTTCTCTAAAAAAAAATTCTTAAAATCTTATCACTAGATATGAACTGTACTAACAATTTAAAAGTTTTGGAAACTTTATTCAGCATCTAGCCCCATTGCATTAAGTAAGGTTTATTTAAGATAGTATATAAGGAACTGCTAACTGACAGTAAAGAACTGCTAATTGACAGTATTAGAGTCACACAACCTAAGGAAAACCAGTTATCCACTCTATGATCAACAACATATATGAACCCAGCTAATAGTGTCCCAAACAAATCATAATTAATATCACCATGGTTTAATATGAGACTCAGTTTATCCTTGGATGATGTTAGACATACATTTTCCCCCATGCTGTATAATTATAGAAGTTTTCCTGCATCTTTCAGTCCTGCAATTAATCAAATTCATACTGTTGTGAATTTGCATATTTCTTTCAGATTTCAAGTACTTAGAAACAGGCATTTAAAAAGTGATATTTAGAAGTTCCTATGTAATGTTTTAAAAACCAAGTGTGCTATTACTGAAATGTGGAAGTTCCTTTTTCTATCCCAGTGCCAAAAAAGTAAGAATAAAATGTCTAATATCTTTAAGTGATTTATTTCTGTTGCATCAACTTTATGTGCAAACCAGGGAATGAATGAATACTGGAATTGCTTCTCTCATTTGCAGTGATTTAAGGCTAAAAATACTAAAATGGATTTTAATAAAAGAATAATATTTAATTTAAAAAAGTGATTTAACCATATTCTCATTCACTTGATAAGGTTTCTCTTTAACAGATATTTTGTGCAGAATAAAAGGATCTAACTATCTTTAAAAGCATGCAAGGACTTTCAGCACTCATTGAGGGTATTCAGGAGGTTATTAGTAAAGATTAGTTACTTTCCCTTTATTGCACTTTAAAAGTATGGGATAGTCTTGGCCTTCCTAATTTGATTCAAAGTAATAAAATTAATAATTGACAATTCTGATTTTTGAAAGAATTAGCAGCACCCATAAATAGAGATAAACTGAGTATCTCAGTTTCTTTTTGAAATGCCTTTAAAATTTTATTTTTTTTTCTTTACTCTTTTCTTTCCTTTTTGTTTTTACAGCAGCTATTTCATTCAAGAGGGACCCTTTTTTTACAGTCAGGAACTCTAACATGGGCACTAATATGGCTATAAACACTTCCCATGACAACTGCTAGACTTCCTGCCTTACTTGCTTTTTTACACTTAAAATCTGGCCCCATACAAAGTCCAGCATCAACATTTTGAATCATCTTGCTATCCAGAATGTCTCTGAGCTGCAATGAGTCCTATTAGCCTCCTCAGCAAATGACAAGAATGGTTTGGTAATATACCCACCTGCTTTGGAAAGACACAAATACAAACTGAGAGCTTTGGAGGAGTGGAAGTGGGCTGGACAGATGGATTGAGTGGTAGTTAATGTTCTGGAAGATCAGGGTTTGTAAGTAGCTATTATGCCAAGACTCTTCCCAAGTAACCATGTTATAAACCCATTGCCCCATATATCTCCAAATATCAAAGTATGTCCATCCAGCTAAAAAAGCTGGAAAACTCATTTTTTTTTACAGGGTCTGAAAAAGATCGTTTTTCTCTTTCGGACAGAGACGTTTTGTATCAAAACTGGAGAAAAGTTACTTTACCAAAGCATATCAAACTATCAGTTTTGTTGTTCTTGTTAAGTCCTATAGAGCAGGTCACCAACCTTTCGGACCTCAGGGACCACTAAATTCATAATTTTAAATCCCGCGGACCACTAATATGATCTGCCTAATGATTGGCTGGTGGGCGTGGCCAGGTGGCCATGTGACTGGGTGGGCGTGGCCAACTCAATGTCACTCACATCGAGGGGGCACCTTGGTAATCTCTAATCACCCCTCCCCTCCCAACCACTCCTTGCCTTCCCGCCTGGGCTCCTTAGTGCCCAACAGGAAGCAGTTGTTGGAGCTAAGCAGCCACCACAAGAAAGAGTTGGCAAAACAGCTCAATTCAAATTGGATCTGACCAAGAAGGAGGCTCAGCAGAAGCACCTCACTGAGGACTACGAGCATAGGCTTTCCAAGCAGAGGGAAGACTTGCGGGAGTGCAAGGCCAGGTATAGACACCTGGAGGTTCAGTGGGCTGAGATGGTTAGCCAGTTCTAGGCCATGTTGCAGTCCCCCTGGGACAAGGCCCTCCAACTCTTCGCCACTAGCAGCACTTCCCTCCAGCCTTCGCCCAAAGCCTCCCACCAGGAGGCCAAAGCAGACCTGAAGTCAGACTTTCTGCCCCTCTCCGACCCACACAAAAAGACCTCAAAGGGGGAGACTCTCTGCAGCAAGACAAATGTTGATTACACATATCTGTCCCAGAGACCATAGTTTGAGGACCCCTGTTTTAGTGCAATATAAAAAATACAAATAATTTTTCTGTGGACCACCAAAATTTTCTCACGGACCACCAGTGGTCCACGGACCACTAGTTGGTGACCACTGCTATAGAGTGTGTAATCATCTGCAATCATCTTTCTTGGCCATATTGATTATCAAAGCAAGAAGCCTCTGAGAAGCCTTTTCCTGCATTCTGCAGAGGTGCCATTGTCATTTAGTTTGTTTTTCTTCCTGCTAACATACACAGTCAGGTTTACTCTCAACTACACTGTGTGGTGATTCATGGTATGGAAGAATTATCTTCCCTAAAAATAAAATTCAGATAATTCTAAAGAGGAAGAAACACACACACAGAAAGACACCTGGACAATACTTACCTTGTACCTGGTTTCTGAATTCCTTGGAGAGTGAATGCAATGAACAGCCACCTCTGAATTTCCAGCATCTCCTTTCCCTTTGACCTTCTGATGTGCAATCTCCTTCCTGCTCCTGTACATATTTTTAGGTGACAGCACAACCTTTCTTGCATTTGATGATGTGGATGCTGCTTGAAAAAAGTTTCTCTTGTGATTGGTGCTTTAGCGGTTATCATGAAACCTTGCATGTTTTTCCCATAACAATCTGACAGAGCTACTCTTTGTATTGACAATCTATTATCTATAAACCAATAAGAAATGTCCACTACAGCAGGAACTATTTAATTTCTCTTACAATAGCATCAATCCCCCATCCTTTGTCTGAGAGCCTGAAGCAGCATCCATGGAAAGAGAAATTTGGCTTCCTTTTATCTCCACAACACCATATCTGCAGGGTGGGTTGTATTGAAAAATACTGTCTTGCCCCAAATCACTCAGCCAATTCACAGAGAAGTGGAGAATTGACCCTAGGTAGACCCATTTTGACACCTTAACCACAACACTACAGTTCAACTAATAAACTTCCTATGTAACAAATGAATTGTTTAACACACACTGAGAAGCATAGAAAGGGAGCAATTAACATGGCTTTAGGATGAAAAACATATTAGTAATATATCCATGACCAATAAACTACTTTTGAAAACTCACAAACTTACCCACGATTTTGCAATCTTCAGCTGCACAGATGTGTAAACTTCTGTATTTCCAAGATTTGTTTGTTAGACACAGATTTCAGATGCACTATTTGCCTGAGAATTACTCTCACTGAGCAAAACGAGTCTACATTCTGAATATAGAGGGCATGGTGCTCCCACCACCACACATAATGAACATCAATTTCAACACAGAGACATATTTCTCAAGATGCCTATGGTCTGCTGAAAAACACTGGGGATTGCTTCAGCACTGGGCAGGTTCAGGACAAAGCCATTTCTATTGGATTTATACATCCAGAAAGTACAAATCCTTAAAGTCAGAAGTCAGGGAGGGACCTTGGTGGAGGAGACTTCTCAGGTCTCATCATATAATGTAAATCCAAGAGAATCAAGGGGCAACTCTGATTAAAATCATTCTTCTAATGGGCAATGTATTGCTGGTTCAGATGGAAAGAATTGCAAATTTGTAGCCTCTTTGAGAATGAGAAGAACCCTTATCTAGAACTACTCTTAGTTTTAAGAGGGAATTTTTAGACTAGGTAGGACTTAGAAGACTCAAGTTCATCTCTTTCCTTAATGCTGGATGACCACTGGTTGCTGTGGAGCCAGCTACAGCCACTCTACCTTTCAGGATTGTGTCCTGGGAATGAAATGAAGAGAGATTCCCATGGACTCATTTCTGAACTGTTGGAGGAAATGCAGAATACAAATTGGACCAATACAAATAAATCAACATAAGGTTTACAGTTAACAGCAGGAGGAAATGTTCTTTTCATATTCCATATCAGCAAATTGCATGTTCAGGCCTGGCTCTCAACCAAGATTAGAATAAAATCATATTCTTTACCACCAAAGTCTCAACTAAACATACTAAAAGTAAAAGAAGGAGAGGCAGAAATGTTAATGCCTATTAGTCCACATGGATTCAAGCCTTCTTTTCTGTACAGTTTTAATGTATTATGAATAAGCCCTGTCTTTAGTTTCTTGCCCTTGGTTGTGCCCCCTACCAGCCATTGGCAATGTAGAACTTGATTACTGGTATATCTCAAGGTATATCTGATAATTTCTTATTCCAAGGTGGGCAGAACAATTACACATTTTCTCTCCCTCCTGAATTATCCTTCCTGGAGTGGAGGATGTATGATTACATAAAAGAGACAGCACATCTCAATGCTGCTTTTAACTCAGTGAATTCCATTTGGTGGGGCCAATTTTTAATTTTAATCAGGTTATTCTTCAATTAACTCAAATGTTGTAAATACCAATAAGGCTGCAGCACTGGTCTTGAGGATCCCCCTTGGAAGGCATTGAACCCCTTTCCTCCTGCTAATGAAATTGATACCAGCTTGTTCCATACAAAGTAGTAGGTCCATATGTCACAGCATCTGGAAATCAACAAGGATTAACTCATCCAATAGTTCTGATACTTTTAAGCAGCTGAAAGAGAGGGATTCAGGCATGCAAAGCACATGCACCACCACCACCACCACCACCACCACCAGGCCTTCCAAAGGACCCAGGTTCTCAGGGTTATCCTGAAAGACAGGCAACAAAGAAGATCTGCTTTCTGATCTTGAATCTTGATCATCCTGCCCAGGAAGTCCTAGTGTAACTGGAGGGGTCAAATTTTCTTCGACATGACTTTCATATCTCCAACTGATACATCAACAGTGGGGAACAATAGTGTGTGGGCAGAAGATTCTCTTCTGGTTTTCTGGACCAGAGGACAATGTAAAGTTTCCCCCTGCCCCACTTCTGCACACTGGGAAAGAAAGCCACTTCTGCACATTCTCTATTGCCTAGATTCAAGTCGAAGACAATGCACAGCCCCACTTTTGCAAAGCCAGGAATGATGGCACTATGCATCTCCACTGCTTTACGTGCATTACCTTGATTTCTCCCGCTAGGCAGAACCACTATCCAAGTTTTGCCCCGGAAAGAAGTAAAACTAACAATGGGGATGCTTTTTAAGGGCAACCAGCTGCCTAACCCAGACGCTGAAGACTCATTTATTACCCTGTTCAGCTCTAAAGGGTTATTCACCTGAAATTAAGTGTCATTGAACTTAGCAAATTTCTTCTCCAATATGCAGTTTATTTTCCTATGGGCTTCATTGCCGTTAAGATCATGGATGTTAGCTCAAAGCACCTCTGTTCTTCAGCCGTTCTGGAATGTTTCCCACAGTGGCACCACTCCTGCAGCTCACTTAAACAAACGAACCTGCTTTAAAACCCATATCATTTTTCCTTATACTGGCTGCAAATAATGCTATGAGATTTTATTAAATGATGCCAATCGAAGGACTAAACCTTCCTGCTTTATTAGTCTGAAAGATGCTTTCTGGAAACAAATTTCTATGCAATTCGTGGATAGTATCTCCTACTGAATTCATAATGTTTTATTTCTGAAGAAACAGCTACAAAACCCTGCAGCCTGGGCGCTATCCAACTTTCCAGGCCAAACCTGCTAATATGGATTGGTAGAAGATTGCAGGACTCCTCTTCTTACAGAAGGGTGGGTTTTAAGAGCTTAAAACGAAATGGGAGGTTGCAGGCGGTGAGCAATCAAAATGAAATATCTTTATAGTGAGGAATTGTGTTTGCAGGGTCTTCAGCTGCTTCCATAACTTGTTTTATAATTGTCAGTCACAGAGCAGCAATATTTGTGCTAGAAACAGATTAGTTTCATTAATGTCACTACATGATTACTGAACTCTTATTCACCATTCTCAGTCCCAATTTGGCTTCTTCAAATTGTTAGACTGACCGGTTCTGTGCACTAGACACGTAGAAAAAAAGCACCAACCACCTCTAAATCGTTTACTATACTAGAAACGTTACTGAACGAAAGTTTAAATGCAAAAGGTTTTTGTTTTTTAAAAAATCGTAATAAGAGTGACTTACAAAGAATGGATTAAGGGTCAGGTGTTAGTCTATGGTTCTTAAACGCGTAGGATTTGTGGGGGGCTTGCCTGCAAAGGAAGAATAAAACAGCAACAAAGATTTAAATCATTATATATCTTAAAGTAGGTTGGATACATTTGCAAGATAAAAACTTCTACAAAACTTGGTCTGTTAAATTTTATACATTCAACACAAATCTGCTAGACTTTTGTCGTTTCGAAATAGTAGCCCAGTGTTGTTTCTTTCTAGGGGCGAAACGTGTTAATCACCTTCTGGTAGATTTCCCTCCTAAAGCAAGGAAAACACATATTTTTGCGTATGTAAAATGCATATACATAAAGTTATTCTTAGCCACCATCAGCACTGGAGGCAGGACATCAATCAAGCTGTTCCCCTTCCAGGATTGCTCCTAATTCTGGAGTTCCAGCCAGATGGGCCAAATGAAACCCAATGATGCCTTTGAAAGAGAAGGGAGGAGAAAGAGGGGTCAAACAAATCGCAAAAGGCCGCCTCGGTCATCATGAATGAACCTAGTTTTCAAGGGCATTTTGGAAACCATTGGCCTGTACCAGCTAGAAAGATAGAACTCCTTCGGAATCAGCGATCTGTGGATATCTTCTTCACGTCTGGAGAAGCGCCACTCTGAAACGTCTCCCGTGTGGTGGATCAAAGGCGGGTGTAATTAAAACCAGGTACGCAGCACCTCCGGACCTAAAGGAGGTTGGCCTCTCAGGTGAAGACCTCGAACAGGCAGTAGTATGGTAATAGCCTTTCCTCTCTCCTGCCTGCTTTCTCCCGCCTCCTTTCCCTTGCACTGGTTACACCTGGTGCTTTTCCTTCCTCTCCAGCCCCTACCCCCCTCCTTAACTCTTCGCTCCGGTTCTTCCTTTCATCTTCCGGCCGGCAGACGCTCCTATTTATCCCCCGGCAATCAAACCAGTGGCGTCACCAGAGGTAACTGTAATGACGAGTGCACCATTAAGGGATGACAGCATTAGAAAGAAGAGGGCAATGGTGAGTTCCTTCCCAGAGCCGGCGCTGCACACTGGAGCGTTCGCATCACAAGGTCATCCCCCCGGCTCGCCCAGTTCGCGGCTCCCCTCCGCCTCGGTAGAAGAAGAACTCGGGCGGGAGGGGGGGAAGGCGCCCCGGAGTGGATGGAGACTCGGGTGGGGTGGGGGTGGGGAAGAGCGCCAGAACGCGAGAGGAAGAACCCGGTTGGGCTGCTTTAAAAGACACCCACGATGGAAACCAGAAAGGAGATGGTGCTGTTTCTGGACGGAGTTCAGCTTGGCCCTCTGGCTGGCAAGAGGGCGGCTAATATGGCAGAGGCCGTGGGGGCCCCGGGCCTGGATCCACAGGACAAGATGATGCCCAGGATTTGCTTGAGCTCTAGAGCTGCCACCCGGGAAAATGGAGGAGCGGGAAGAGGTGCAGGAGGAGAAGAAGAGGAAGAGGAGGAGGAGGAGGAAGAAGAGGAGGAGGTGGAAGTCCTACCAGCGCCAGGGACCGTCCCGGAGAATCGCTCAGCAGCAGCAGCGCTTCTTTCTGCTAATCAGCAGACCTCCCTCCACCGCCTTTCCCCCACCAAAGCCCCCCAAAGCAGTTCCGACACCGAATCGGATTTCTATGAGGAAATCGAGGTGAGCTGCACCCCGGACTGCGCCCCTGACAACGCGGAATACCACCTCCAGCACGGCAAAGGTACCCGACCCCTCCCCGCTTCCCTTCTCTTGAGCTCCCCGGGGAGACCCATCTGGATTCGCAGCTGGGTGGGACGGGACAAGACTAGCGCTGCTGTTTGGCTCAGCCTCAGAGCGCTTCGAAGCGGCGACTGGCAGCCTGTTGTTCAGTCTGGCTTAGGTGATTTCGGGATCGCAGCCTGCGTTTTATTTTCTTCCCCTCCCTCTTTGAACTGCCCTCTCCCAGTCTCCAAATCCTGAGGCTTGGTCGCTTCCATCTCTAATTGCCCACCAAGAGGCATCTGCAATAAGCCACACACATGTCCCCCTTTGAAGTCTAACGACATGTTACTGGAGGACGTGAAATCGCATCCTCGCTGCAACAAAGAATTAAAAGCTTTGCAGAATTCCCGCTCCCCGAACCCTAGACTTCGATTGCAATAAATCCCCCAGAAGCTTCTCTTTCTTTCGGTATTGCTGTCCTAGCACCTTCTTGATGCTCCCTCCTTCCAAGATTATAGGACTGCGTGGTGCCTCCTGCCCTTTTCCTATTGCCGCGGAACAGGAAAGGAAAGCTTCCTCCTTAACATTTCACAGCAAGATCAAAAGCATGCATCCGCTCCTGCCGGCCGTCCTGTCCAAAGGCTGTATTGCAAAGAAGCAGGCGAGCAATTTTCCCTAGCAAAATTGCAGAATGCCTGGACGAATGAAGAAGCAGTCACAGCACAGGCGACATCACTCACGTACCTTCTCTCCCTCCGTCAGAAAGACCAGGTCTCTGTCTCCTCCCTGCCCCGCTTTTCTCAACTACGCACCCTGCAGTTCTCATCTCCTCTTGGCAGGTTTGTTCGAGGCCCCAGTTGCTCTTCACTTCCCTGTCTTGTGGCACCAGTTCGGAAATGGCTGTGGGGTTTAAAGCCTTTGGTCTCAGGAGGACTCACTGAGAATCGTCTGCAATGGAAAGCAAAAGTCCGGAGGGCCTTTCCATCCCCTCCCCGCCTTTCTCTTCCTTTCCTAAACCCCCAACCCCAGGCTCCTTCTGTGAAAGGGATGCCCAGAATGAAAGCTCCTGTTTTGCTTCTGAGAATTTCTTTCACCTGGAGCATTAGATGGGGTGGAGGGGACGACCATTCTTTATATTCCTTATAAAGAAACCGAGAAAGAGACCTGATGCGTGTAGTTGGCGTTTATAGACGTGATTCTCTTATCGCAGGTAGCTCGGCAGTGGTGGGGGCTTGAAGAGGGACATGGCAGCCTCTTTCAGCCTCTTTACCGAGCCCCAAATGCTGTTGCCTGGAGTCCCAGTTCTTTCACGCAATAGAAAAGGGGAATCCGAGAGGGATTCAGTGCCATTCCTTTTGCGTATTCACTTTACAATATGTTCTATGGTACAATATGTTCTGTAATGCACTACAATGTGTAATCCAACGTAGACCCTGCCTGTCTTGTTCACTGCTGTTCTCTCTATGTGTTTGAATATGGAATCTTCTATGCCTTCACATCCAGAATAAGCCTATCGCAACACAAAAATAAGACAGGCGAGGGCACTTATTGCAGCATAAACTTTTCAAGTCCATTTGATCCGGTGCAGGATAACAGTGGTGACGATTTTCCTTTTCTTGGCAAGAAGGGATATAGAAGCCTTTAAAAACACTCTTCCATTAGGGGGAAAAAAGAGAGAGACATCTCGGACTTTTATTCCTCTCTTACAAGTTCCTCTCGACTGCAGGTGCTACCAAATAAGTGTTAGAGAAAAGCTTGCCATTCTTTCCGCTTCCGGAAAGGAGTTTACAGACCAGAGGTGCCGTTGGGTCCAAGTGGACGCCGGGATACGTTCCTCCTTAGGTCTCCTAACACGTTGGCTTTAAACGAGGAGCCGAATGCCTTTCGTTGCATCGAATAGCGCTTTGCATCGAATAGCAGCCTCGGTGCCGGAAACTAGTGTGATCTGTGAATAAAACGTGTCCAGGAAAAGGGAAAATGCAATTTACGGGAAACTGTCCAGTAGATTTTAGGGTAATTTAGTCCAGAGTGTGGGCCTGGGATTGCGGTTTCATATGGGCAGTATAAACACCACAAAATGGGATTGGCACTGAATGACTCTGTATCCTCAACAGAAAAATGGGCAGAAAAATCGGGTACAAGTTCAAGTGGGGACAATTAAGTCGATTTACTCCTAGGTAGGTATTTTTAGGATTGTAATTTGAAAGGCAGATAAAAAAGGCAGATCGGAGAATTTGGCCTCTAGATTCGGTATTCGGTGGGCATCACTGGGTGGTCGTTAAGTAATTCCAAGAACTTTTCTTTCTTCTTGGAGTACCACGCCTGGTTAAGTGCAACTCATGAGGTTGCTCAAGCCTTGAGAGTAAAATCCATTCAATCTAAGGAAACCTGGCCTCTGAATAAACGTGCCTACAGCCAAACTCAGTGGATTGACGGGCATGCGATTTATTCTGAGCAGCCCAATTTAATAAGGCTGAGGATTGAACTGGTCATCGTGCTGCCCTCCCCCCCCCCATCCCCAATCAACCTGTTGTCAGACAGGCTTGTTTTTATTCATTCGCTATTCATTTTTATTTATTCACTATTCATGCGCACTATATATATATCACTTTGTATTCCTAGATTAAAGGCCTGACCGGGTCCCGCATCTTCAGAAGTCAAGGAGACTAACTTGCTTTATTTCAAACGTGGTGAAGCAGCCCTGTCAACTCCCCAGGGTTTCTTCGGTAGTACTCCAGAGGAGCCCCTGTCCTGAGCCGCTGCTCCAAAGGGCTGTCCTGATGACACTATTGCCCGAATTGGTGTGGGAGGGGGAAGAAATAATAAGGGGGGGGGGTTGGGAACTCTATCGTCAGAGCTCCAGCTGTCTTTCTCCCTCTGGATGGCTTCCTCTCTACTCTCCCCTGCAGGTCAGTGCTCGGATACTTCAGCAGGGAGCCCTAGCAGCGAAGGCGATCTTTCCAAGGGCAGCGCTGGCGCTGGCAGTGGTGGTGGTGGAGGTGGTGGAGGAGGTTCTCAGGGGTCGTTGGCCTGCAGCGCCAGCGATCAAATGCGCCGTTATCGCACCGCCTTCACCCGGGAGCAGATAGCCAGGTTGGAGAAAGAGTTTTACCGGGAGAATTACGTGTCCAGACCCAGGAGATGCGAACTGGCCGCCGCCTTAAACTTACCCGAAACCACCATCAAGGTAGGTTTGCATGTATATTTGGCCAAAACCCAGGAAAACTCCCTGGATTTCAGAGCGTTTCCAAGTGTCTGGACTTTGACCCTCCCAAAGTCCTTTCCACTCCCCCCCCCCCCAGTTCCATTGTCAAATCGTTTCAAAAGCAGCACTCTTTCTGGTAATAGTGGATCTTGATCCGCAATTGTGAATGGTTGATTTCATCAGAATGGGTTGGTATCCCAGCTCTGCAGTGGTTTCTTCTTGGAAGAAGATGAACTAGCCGTCTGCTGTGAAATATGTCTCGTTTCTTCCTTCAGTGAAACTTCTTTCTGGGTAGGTGTAACTAGGTCTACAGCTTTAACCTTAGGGATTGTTTCTTAGGGACTTAACGTCAGCCACTTTTTTAAAATTTATTTATATGCCGCCCTTCTCCGGAGACTCAGGGCGGCTTACAATGCGTTAAGCAATAGCCTTCATACTTTTGTATATTATATACAAAGTCAGCTTATTGCCCCCACAATCTGGGTCCTCATTTTATCTACCTTAGAAAGGATGGAAGGCTGAGTCAACCTTGAGCCTGGTGAGAATTGAACTCGCAGTAATTGCAGGCAGCTGGAAGTTAAATACTACCTTTAACAGTAGCATTAGTCTGCTGCGCCACTCAGGCTCTTCGAAAAATCATGTAGTGCAAAGTGCTTAAGATGATGGTCAGGAAGGTCATCAATCCTCCCCAACACTTGCTTGTTTGTTTTGAGTCCACCTTAACTCCCCCTTCCTCCACACCCACACCACCGAACATCAACTTGTTATCTGGCTTGCTGAAATCAATAATACTTACTCCGAAGTCACTGCATTTAAATTAAAATGTCAGGCTTTAACCATTAAAATGGAAACATTCTAATGTCTAAATTAAGTGGCTTAAATAACGTCTGTATCATTACACAAAGTAGCAGTTGAGCAAATTTATTGGGGAATAAGCACCTTAAAACTAGGGAGATTTCCCAGGTGATTTTATAGGTAGGATTTACTTATTTTTTGTCTATCTCTCCTGAAACAGAATTGCCTAATTTGAATCTATGTGCATATTAAAGATATTAAAGATTCATTTCCGGTGCATTCATATTAAGGAATTTCCTGTACACTTAGGCGGGCTGTCATTCAGGCTGTTAGCTTCACAGAACATCTTAGAGACAAGAATTGTCTGAAAGATCGTGGAAATATTTTGGCAAAGACTAAAAATTGGCAGAAAAGAAAGAAGAGAAAGGCACATAGGAAGCAATCTTGCTATTAAGCATTACTACTACAATTACTGCTACTAATACTATTGTTACTACAATACTAATACTATTACTACTACAATTACTGCTACTAATACTATTGTTACTACAATTGTTATCAAAATAGCATTGATTGCCTGCTGTAATAGACATATATAGGTGTAAAATTTCTGTTTAAATGTGTGGGCCACAAACAATTCCACTCCATGACAATTGTGCAGATATGGCAAGTACATTATTGCAAACACCAATAAATATAATGAAGTCTCCCAGTCTGATTTTTAAAGGTAGTGTGGGAGAAAATGCTGGGCACACAGCTCCATGCCATCGAAATCTTGAATATCCTCAGTAGCCAGAGGCAACTGCCTTTAGTCGGTGCCTGACGTTCGCCAGATGAATCCTTCCCCAGCCTATGGGGAGGATGCCGAGCTCAGACATGGAGTGGAGGGTTATGGCGTGATCCCAGCCTTGCTGGCGACTCAGAGCTTGCTTTGCTTTGCCTGTCTGTTCCCCATCCCAGGTATGGTTCCAGAACCGGCGGATGAAAGACAAGAGGCAGCGCCTGGCCATGACTTGGCCCCACCCGGCGGATCCAGCTTTCTATACCTACATGATGAGCCACGCGGCGGCCACCGGCAACTTGCCCTACCCATTCCCCTCCCACCTGCCCCTGCCTTATTATTCCCACATGGGCCTCGGAGCCGCTTCGGCTTCGGCCGCAGCCGCCCCTTTCAGTTCCCCGCTGAGGCCGCTGGACACCTTTCGCGTCCTCTCCCACCCGTACCCACGACCAGAACTGCTGTGCGCCTTCCGACACCCCTCTCTCTATGCAGGTCCGACCCACGGGCTGAGCGGTGCCGGAGGGAGCCCCTGCTCTTGCTTGGCTTGTCACGGCAGTCAGGCGACCGGGTTAGTCCAGCGGCCTTCGGGATCGGACTTTAGCTGCTCGGCCACCACCCGGACGGACTCCTTTCTCACGTTTACACCTTCGGTGCTGAGCAAGGCCTCCTCGGTCCCCCTGGACCAGCGCGAAGAAGTCCCTTTGACCAGATAAAGGACCCATCTCAGGTTGCGCTCTTTTCCTCCCGCCCTCCCCGTCCAGAGACCCACCCGGTCTGTGATCTCTCCTCTCCTAATGTTTAATCCCGTCAATCAGTGGAAATCAAGGAATGGAAACAAAAAACGAAAATGAGCCTGGAAGATGGGGAGGATTTCTAATGCGCACAAATCCGCGGAAGATCCTTGGCTAAAGCGAGGTGCGGAATTTGGCGGATTATTCCCCAAGGATGGGGAAAGGGGGGGGGGGGCAATGGTTTCTGCCCCAGCAAAAACAAGAAACCCCTTTTTTTTTTGGGGGGGGGGGTTGTCTCCAGTTTATGAGAGCAGATGCTTACCAAACCACGGCGCCAATAGTTTATGCATAACCTTATATGTGACTAAAAGGGAAATACTTGAAAGAAGAAATTGTCCATCCTTAAAAAAAAGTGTATGTCTGATGAAAATAAAAATTTATTCTTTGCCAGATTAAAAAAAAAAAGCAAAAGAAGGACTTTTGTGGATTTACGATAGAGTCAATCTGTTTCTACTACTTTTCTTCCTTTCTTCTTTCCTTTCTTTCTTTCTTTATTTGATTTTTATACCACCCTTCTCCAACAGGACTCAGTGCGGTCAACAGCCGAGATAAAACATAACATATAAAATTTAAAAAACAGTTTAAAAGACATTAAATAATTTCGGCCCTCAATTTAAAACAACCCAGTTAAAACCAATTTCAAATTAAAACCGAAAGGATGGGATCGAGCCAGCCCGGCTAGATGAAATAGATGTGTTTTCAGGGCCCGACAAAAGGATATTTAGTCCAATATCTTTTAAAAAGTAACAACTCTGAACTAGACATTAAAAAAAAGTCAACTCTTGCAAATATTAGCTTCTCATATGCATATATACCCTCATGCATACACCTTCTGTGCACCAGCTGAGGGAGTGGGGAGGGAGGGAAGAGAGAAGTGAGAAAGAGGAATCGACACAGAGAACCCAGAAGGATTAAAGCTATTTGTCCTTTAAAATAACAGCGTTCTACTGTCACTCGCTGAATTGTGACCACACGGACCAAATTAACAAGTGATGTATATGTAGTGGGGAAGGTTTGTACACACACACACACACACACACACACACACACACACACACACACACACTTACTTCTTTTTGAAAAGGGAATCAGCTGCAAGGCTAATATTCTCAGGACACAGCCTGCGTGGCTGCCAAGCACTAACAAGCCGCCAAGGGAAGAGATTAAACGACAGGAAGCGGGATTCTTTTCTCCCCACAATCACTCAATCACTGGTCTGCAAATGAAAGCCGAATCTGTTTCCTTCTCCTTCCGGGTCTAATTTCAGTTCCCCAACAATCTTTGGGTTTAGAAGTGAGTTTCTGCCTCTGTGTTATTCACTGTATTTGTTATTGTAATTTCCTTTTTCCATATGTGGAATACAACACCGCATTTCTGCTTTTTTTCTGAATCCTGGGTATGTTATACATTTTTCTTCTTTTATCTCTATGAAATTATCCCCAGCTCCTTAGGTTACCTGTTTTTTCATTGATGGAAGGACAGTCCTCAACATTTCATACTGGAATAACAATTTTACTGAACCCAAAGACTTACAAATTGGCTGGCTTTTTCTCCTTGCTTAATTGGGACCACAAAGAATGGTATAAAACACTTGAGTTAATTAACTAATTTTAAACCATTGCATTATTTTAAAAGGTATATTATATATTGGAACAAAAGCAGGAAATTACTATGGTGTTGGGGTAGAACAGAAGATTTAAAAACTTTTTTTTAATGTGGTATGCCCAAGAAATTCTTTCGGTTCGATTTCAAACATAATTGAAATAGAGGGAAAATGTTTGAGAGATTGGTGACAGGAAGGAAGGAAGGAAGGAAGGAAGGAAGGAAGGAAGGAAGGAAGGAAGGAAGGAAGGAAGGAAGGAAGGAGAAAGGTAGATTGGTGACAGGAAGGAAGGAAAAAAAGGTAGATATTTGGGCATACACTGTTAATTTAAGACAAATCTCCAAGGAAGTCATGGGGACTTCATAATTTACAGTCCAAATCTATCAGTGAAGTAAACCTGATACCAGCTAGAATAAAACGTCTACACTGTAAATAGATTTTACAGAAATCACTGGATTAAAAAACCTTTAACAGTGTTAATGTATGAAAGCAAAGTTTTTGCCATTTTGTTGGAAATCATTAGGATTAATTGCTAGGCTTCCCGATAACCTATTGTGGAGAGGGAAATACCTTTGTTTGTCTAAAGACATGCTCACTAATTCTTGTGAGAAATTCCACTTTAGCATATTGATCAAGGAAACATAACAATGGGGAAAACCTATTCATTTCAATGGACTCACAGCAAGAGAATTTCCCTGGCTGGGAAATCCTTCATTATACATTAGTTTCTAAAGACAAGGAAGGAGGAACCAACCTTTTGGAGCATTGCTTTTTATGTCAAGAAAGGTTCGTGGCTTATTCCAAAACCTAAATACCTGGCAAATTATTCTCTCCAAGCAAATTGAAAGATATCAAACTCAAAAGAGGAAAAAGAAAAAGAAGGAACAATAATTTTATGTAATCTGTATTATTAAAATTGTTTAATGCACAATATCTTAAACAAATGTGCAAACCATAAGATTAACCTAAAACGTACTGAAAATTCTCTAGACGCCTAGACAAATGAAGAGGAATAAATTCCAAAACAAAAAATCAGTAAGACTTAGTTCTGAGTAAAAGTGGTTAACTCTGGGATGCAAATTAAGTTCTAGATCAGGAATGAAAATATGTTGGGCTCCCATCTCTAGAACTTCCGAACTTCTAAGGCCGAAATGTTTAACCAATGCAAGGTTGGGACTTCTTAAGGGGGAAACAGATTGAGGTTAATGTTTTCGGTCTCCTGCATGCAGTCTTTCTTTCACCTTCTCTCTCAGTTGGGGATAATGGGAATTGTAATATAACCAAGTTGCATCATTTTATAAGATGAGGCATAAAAGAAATAAAAAGAAGGGGATTTTTCTCCATCTCCCTCTTTTTTTGAGGGGATAGGAGAGCTTGGAAATCTGGATATGTTAATCATAATTGTACAAGGGGAAAAGGCTGCCCTTCTGTTGCCTAAATACTTGCTCATCGGTTTGTCAGGGTCCCCCCTCTTCTTTAGATAATAGGTAAAGACTCAGAAATATTGGTCAGTCTAACTTCAGCGAAGAAGTTTCAGCTGTGAACTTCAGCTTTAACCCCTTTTGCTCAGATCAAAATTCTTACCATCCTGCTCTCCTGAAGTCCACAAATCAGGAAAGGTAGGAAGTTTGCCTTCCACGCGTCCACAAATGTACACATGTTATATGTGTTATGTTTCCAACTAAGAGTGATAATGAAAGCTGTAAATTTTGGAGCGGTGAATTTTTTTTTCATGGAAAGTATCTTGGTTATCCCATTTCATACACACCCCTACAATCTTATAAGCAAATAGCACAGATTCCAAATGTGTGGGCAACAGCTCTCATAGATTCAACCAGCTTCCTTGGGACTGATGGTAGATGTCGTTTGAAGCATTTGGAAAATACTGTACGGTTCGCAAAATCATAAACTTTAAGATGCCTGAGTTTCAATTCCCAGAATTCCGCAGACAACATCGTATGACTGCATGACTGGATAGAAATGTCCACACGTCCAAAAATTGCTAAGTTTCAGAAATCCTGTTCTATTGTGAAAGGCCAGTGTAGCAAAATTCCCAAAATCCCTTCCGTACCATACTCGACAAGGCCCCCTGAGAATCAACTTCCTCTGCGGACCTCTGCGGATTTGGCGACCAGCGGGGGGGATTAAAAGAGCCCTCTCATCCCCCAAATGGGCGGTTTCGTCCTAAGGTGTCAATTCCGCTTCAGGCAAATCCAGGTGATTTCTTAACCACTTTGATGAGTCAAATATTTACAAGATTGCTGTGCCAAGGCGTTGCGCTCGAACTGGGGGAGACTTTGGAGGCTGAAATTCACATTGCCTACATAGAGAGAGAGAGAGAGAGGGAGGGAGGGGAGGAAGAGAGAGGTTGGTGTAATGGAGACCAAGGGATCTACATTATTGTGGTATATAGTATTACAGATAATACAGTATACAGTATACCTGTATTATCATTTGGGCACGAAACCATCTCTGTGTGTTTGGGCCAGTCATACCTTCAGTGCACTAAGAAATAGGCAAGGGCAAACCGCCCCCCATAAATATTGCCAAGAAAACTGCGTGGATTTCTCTGGATAATCTCCAGGAGTGGCTCCAAAGCAGTATGTATGTATATATGTATGTATGTATGCATGTATGCATGTATGCATGTATGTATGCATGAATACACACTATCAGCCTCCGTCATGTCCCTGGTCCCTTCGAGCCATTGTCGTTTCCAAGGGGCTCCTTGCAATCTCTCCACCCTGCCAGGGATGACGCACCGCCTCCCCCACCGTGGTCAGAGGCAGAGATTGCGGAGCCCAGGTAAACAGGCTGCGAGGGGGCGGCGATGCCAGGCGTATTTTCAGTTAATAGGTAGAGAAAATGAGGTGTCTGAAGCGATATTGGAAACTACAAGATCGATGATCCGCCCTGTGTCCAATCAGCAGCCTTTAATTGACTGTATTTTCTAGGTAATTGAGCCATTCTGCCTCTAAATTGAAGTGGAAGATATAACAATACATCTTTCTCCCAGGAATTATTCATTACTTCATAATGAAATTTTCCTTTTGCTCCTTCTTCGTCTTTCGGGATTTTTTTTGGGGGGGGGGGGGGGGGGGCGGGGACACCAATCCAAGCTGCCGCTTGGCAAGAGCTTCCAGGAGGAAAATGTGAACAGAGCAAGATGTAGGAAAAATTATTCTTGCGCGGGGGGAGGGGAATGTACAAGGCAATGATGTTTCACACGGCTGAACCGGCCTGGGAAGTTTGGAATATGAAAGCGGAGGGTTTGGTGAAGGAAACTCGGAAGGCACTTGAAAGCTTGAGAGTGGGGTGGGCGGATGGGTGGATGAGCCCGTTTGTGTATAAGTCACGTATGTGTCTTGGTGTGTCTCAAGCCTTTTTCAACCTTCACAAGCCGCCCAGACCCCACGCAATCTGAAAAGATTTTTGCTCCGGAGGGCAGGGCTGGTGGAAGTCCAGTGAGAGCATTTCAGCCCAGATCACCACCGGGAGGAAAGTGAGTTGCTCCCTGCCTGCCTGCCTGCCCTCCTCCTCCTCTTCCCTTTTCAAGCTACTCGTCTCCCGGCCCCGCCTC